ACAAACCTAAGCTTTGGTATTATCACAGAAGTCATCACAGGAAGCATTCAAAGCCTATCCTGGGATGTGACTCAGTGACTCTCTTTGACGGCACTTGTCCTCCTTCCCAGGGCCTCATCTTAGTGATTGTTTGTCGGGAAAGATCCAACACAACCAACCCCATACTTTTCACAGCCCAATGCTTGGGCCCCAGACTTCAAAAGCAGTGCCCCTGATTCCCTCTTGAGGCATCAGCCTGGTGAGCGCTGGGTGCCCTTCTCTTTACTGCGGCAGGACATGGGTCTTCCCAACTATAAACACTGTTTTTGTAGTTGGAAGCTACTGCATGAATTGAGGTTGATTGAAGGGTCTGGTCCCGCTGAATTAGTCAGTGTGCTGTGATTCTTCCACGCAAGTCATTTTGTGCTGCTTTCTTTATATAGACCAGAGGAGGGGTGAGATCCTTGCCTTGTGAATGGCCATTTGCCCACAGCCGTCCCCTCCCGTTCCGCCTGAGATCTCACACGTGTGACGCAGCGTCAGATGTCTCTGAAAACTTCCCTCGATTGTTCTCTCATCAATACGCATTGTTACTTCTAGGGAAATACGAGTGGTGGTGTTGGAGGATAGGCCTAGCTCGCTATGGAGGGTCTGCCATTGTTGCAGCATATTTTAAATTGAACGCCTCTCCGTGTTGACCCAAAAGATCATCGACATCCAGTCCTGTAGAAATTGGGTCTTGGCTGTTAGCGTCCACCACGTTCTCAAACTCTGTGGTCATGTCCGACCGTTCATGAGTTTGAGGGAGGGACCCCCTGAACCCCATGCTTTCAAACAAGTTTCAAGTGGTTTGAGGTCTGGCGTTCCTCAAAGCCGGATTCCTTTCTTGCATATGAATATTTGAGAAATAGAATATGTTTGCCAGAAATAAAAAATCAATACAGATTATTTTAACTACCAGCGTGAAGTGCATGGGAGATATCCTTAATTGTTTGAAGTGATCCACAGAGAGAGGTTTATTTTTTCCTTTGAGAGTTTCGCTCTTGATGTGACCAGGATGGAAGATGACAGGTGGTGCGATCTTGGCTCACCGCAACTTCTCTGATGTCCTGGTTCAAGTGATTTCATCCTGCCTCAGCCTCACTCCGATAGCTGGCCATCCGTCTGTCTGTCCACCCCCATCCATTCACTCCCCTACCCAGTCAGAAGATGTTTATGGAGCATCCTAAGCAGTGCTTAAGTTTCCCTAGGTCCTTTGCATTACTGGAAAATTCTCCAAAAACTTAGTGAAAGCTAAGCTCTATGAGGTTATTTACAGGATGTTTTGGCATCCATTATCTTAGTTGATGATGGCTTATTCAGTTCTCTTCATGTAATGAGTAGAAGATAATGAAAGTGTTTTGGAAATTTCTTCTGGGAGGGTAATCTTTGCGTTGATAATTACTCCAGGCTTGTTTACTGCATGCTTCTGAGTATGAAGGGAATTTACAGAACAGAATCAGATATGCAGGGTCTACTTCTTGAAGTTGGACAGTCTCTGTCTTTCTGACAGAGGTCACAGCTGCCTTGGGCAAGTTGCCTAGCCTTCCCGTATTTGGAGTTTCCCATGGAACGTCATCATATGTTGAGTGGAAAAAAAAAAAACAAGCTGCAAAATATTATGTACAGTACCCAGGTGAAATATTAAACACATACAGCAATAATATGAATATTGTGCTGAAAACTAATAACTGTTAAAGGTGCAAAGCCACACAGCAATTCTGGAGCCATCTCTGGGGAGAGAGGTGGGGAGATGTGAGGAGGTGGACTTTGGCTGGCTCTGTAACACGTTTTCTTTTGGAGAGTTCTGACGTAAGTATCGCAAAATGTTAATAAAAGTTAAATTTGGCAATGGATATATGCATGTCAATCATATTTATTTTCCTTTTGTCTATATTGGAACCTCCTCATAAATAATAATTTAAAACATTTTTTGAGTCCATGGTTCCCCTAGTGCAGAGTAGTTGAAAGTTCTCTTATAATCGCTGCAGATCCATGCAATGATTCCTTCCCTAAACTTTTGGCTCCTTGACCCTTCACATTTCCATGTGATTGAAAAAGCAAAGGCCAGAGATGGGGCATGGTGGCCACACCTGTAACCCCAGCACTTCTGGGAGGCCAAGGCAGGAGGATCACTTGAGCCCAGGAGTTCAAGACCAGCCGACGAAACAGTAACAACCTGTCTCTACAAATTTTTTTTTTTGAGACAGATTCTTGCTCTGTTGCCAGACTTGAGTGCAGTGGGGCACGATCTCCGATCAGTGCACCCTGTGCCTCTGGGATTCAAGCAATTCTCCTGCCTCAGCCTCCCAAGTAGCTGGGACTACAGGCGCATGCAACCACACCCGGCTACTTTTTTGTATTTTAGGAGAGACGGGGTTTCACCACGTTGGCCAGGCTGGTCTCGAACTCCTGACCTCGTGATCACCTGCCTTTCCCTCCCAAAGTGCGAGGATTACAGGCATGAGCCACCGTGCCCAGGTAAAATATTTTTTCTTTTACATTTTAATCAGCTGGGTGTGGTGGTGCCCACCTGTGGCCCAGTTACTTGGGAGGCTGAGGTGGGAGGATCAATTGAGCCCAAGAGGTAGAAGCTACAGTGAGCCATGACTGCATCACTGCACAGCCTCGGCAGCAGAGTGAGACCCTGTCCCCTCAAAAAAGAAGAAGAAGAGGAAAAAGAAGAAGAGGAGGAGGAAGAGGAAGAGGAAGAGGAAAATAACAAGAAAAGCCAGGGTCTGACCCTGGATCCGTCACATGTCGACTTTCTTGGGGGAAATAACTTCATAGCCTATAATTCCTGCTTTCAGGAACTGACGAGCCTTAAGACCACAAGTGACAATTAGCAGCAGCTTTCTGGGGAGGGCGGGACACACCACTCCGGCTGTGAACTGCCTCGGGCAGAGGCTGCCCAGCCCTGTGTCCAGCCCAGTGAGAGGCAGGGGCTCGGGGCCCCCGGGCAGTCTCCAGCCAGGCTGTGGCTCCCTTTCCTCCCCTTTACCTGGAGCCAGCCCTGACTGGCCTGTTTACACGCGGGTGCCCTCACATCACCTCTACTTGGCCCAGATGGGTGCTTCTCAGGACACGACCCTCTGCCCACCTAGGCCCACACCCCTCACACCTCCTCCAGGCACAGAGTCCCAACTGCCCCAGGTGCCGCTGGGAGGAGCCCTGTGGAAGGAATGACGAGGGTCCAGGACAGCTGTAGCTGCTTCTTCCTAGACTTCCCTCCTCACATCTGCATTTGAGGAAGATGCCCCAGCAAGGACCCTCCCCTCCAGCTCCAACCTCCCCACCTGCTCTGCCTAGAAGACCAGGTCTTACTCGGGGGAACTGGGACATTATCTTCTCTGTCATAAATAGGTTATTTATGGAGCAGAATGCAGACCCTGCCACCTCTCTCCACTCTGGTGTTGGGATGTTTCCTGCAACCAGGGGCTTCTTCGTGGGGTATGGACCAGTGTGCAAGAGTATCAGGTGTCCAGCACAGACAGTAACATCTCCCCTCAAAGCAGTGCATCCAGCCATCTCACCACATCACTGTGAGGGTTAACAAGCAGCTTCAAACAGAGAGCTGCAGCCTAAAATGCACAAGGCTGGCCATCCAGGGAGATGCATCCGCACGCATGGTGTCCCTCCAGTCACTTGCCTACCTTCAATCTCAGGGTATTTCATGAGAATCAGGAGCCCATATCTCAGAGTGGTGCTGGTGGTCTCTGTCCCCGCAAAGAACAGGTCGGCCACAGTCACAGTGATACCGTCCATTGTGTACAAGCGCTCTGCACTGTGCTTTTCCTGTGATGCCAGAGACAGACAGGAGAAGGGGCTGCTTGTCTCCTTTCAGCACAGAACCAGCCACCTCCCAACTCAACAGGGACACAGGAGACAGTGTCCAAGAGGCTCTCCCAGTGGAACTGTGACTTGGAGCTGTGACAGACAGGGTCGTCTCCACCGCACAGCCATGGAAACTGAGGCTCCCTGGAAACCTGCTGAGGGCAGGACAGGGCTCTGTCTCCCTCAACAGCATGAGGGCCACCCTGGGAGAGGCGACATCCCCCTGACCTTGGTCATAGCTCAGGCAGGAGCTAAACGGCTCCTGCTGACCCCTCCTGCTACAGGGCTAGTGTCTGCTGCCATGAGGGGCCAAACTGGTAGAAGAGATGCTCAGATAGTCCCGGGAAATCAGGGTGGGCTCCACATGTTGTTCTTGAGCCACAAGCCACAGGAAAGGACAAGACAAGGACACAAGAAGCTTCTCCAAGCTGGGAAGGAGGCAGGGGATCAGGGTCCTGAGCGGCTGCAGGTGGATGAAGCTGGGGAGGGCTGGAAGTCTTGCACCTGTGCACAGTTGGGGAGTACATGCCCACAAGGAAGGCTGAGGACTTCTCCTCAGACAAAATGCAATTCTCAAAGTCTGTGGACTAGAAAGGGTTGAGCAGCAGGGCCTGGAGAGGGCTAAGGGGCCCACCCACACCACCCCAAAGCCCCAAGCCAGCTTGGCAGCCAGGCAGGCTGACTTGCGTCCAGTGGTCATGCTGAAGCCAAGAGTGTGTGTGTGAAACTAAGAGCGTGCTGCGCTGGAAGGCCTGGATACCAGTGAGTGCAGGTCACACTGTAAATCTGAAATCGTGCGCTCCCTGCCCACCCCAGAGAGCCCACATCATGGGAGGGCCGAGCCTACCTTCTCCATTTCCACAAGCAGGCAGTCGGTGAGATCCCGGGGGCAGTTGGGGTCCAGAGATTGAAGGTGCTCCTTCACCCTTTCAGACACATACTCCTTTATTTCAGCCACATTTTTCATGACTTTTCTATGGCTTCCAGGCAAGTAGTGTAGTAAGCTGGGGAAATTATTGTAAAGCTAGAGAGGGAAAAAAATATTTTACTATTTTCTTCTGGATGCAACATAATTCTGTGTGTTAGAACAACAACACATTCTCCAAGCCTGAATTTGTGGCTGTAATCATTGTTTATTTGGAATATTTTGGGTCAACAGTGTTCTTCCTGGGCACCATTCTCCTCAGCAGTGCACACTGCACGGCAAATGTGCACACACAGGTCAATATGCATCCTGACGTTACGAAACGGGGTGTGTAGGGCCCCAGAGATGTCTCTGGAAGTAATATTTAGGATGTCTAATCAAACACCCTGCGAAGCTATATTCTTTGGCTTTTGCAGTCCTGTCTATCACATATAACCTGAATTTTCCTTCTTTTTCTAATGTAAACTATACAGTTGATGATTGATGAAAGAGGAAAGTGGCTTCACCTGGAGCCAGGGAGTGCTGAGCAGTTGGAAGTTCTCGTTAAACAAATACATCAGCCTCAGAAACTTCTCATCATTGTAGTCAAAATGCTTGCGGAAGAGGATATCAGCTATGACGTTGCAGGGCGCGCAGCCGATGAGGAAGGTGGGATCGAAAGGCTGGCCTAGAAACAGGCAGTCGGGGCAATCAGAAGATGGGCACAAGGAGACTCCTCCACCGGCTCAGTCACCCGCTGAGGTTCACCAAGGCCTGTGAGAAGGTGCCCTGATAACTGGCGATTTACAAAAGATAGTGAATATCTGAACCTGTTTGGGTTTCCTTTGCTTTTCGACAGTATTTAGGATACAAGTCACATGTTTAATGGCCACCCTTGCTCCCTGAACTGTGTAGCTGGAAACTAGAGTTCTAAAACACAGCATCTCTGGACTCACCTGACCCTCTCCTTGTCCGTAGGTCCCTGTGGTTCAGATGCAGTCTTGGAGTCCCAACCAGGGCTCCCTGCGCCCCTAGTCTGCATGAGGACTGGGCCCTGCAGCAGATACGCACCTTGGGTCTTCCTGAGCGCTTCCAGCAGGAAGTGGGCCTCCCTCTGGATCCGGCTCTCGTAGCCCTGTTTCCCCATCCCATAGTTCCGGAGGGTGGTCAGGGAAAACCGCCGGATGTCCTTCCAGGTAGGTCCATTATTGAAAATAATTCCTAAGGCAGAGGGGACAGGAGAGGGTTATTCCAAGTACCCATTCTGGGGAGAAGCGGGCTAGAGAGGGCCTGGGAGAGCACAGCAGGGTTTGCAGGGGTGTAAACAAGTGACAGAGGGGACAGAGGGACAGAGAGACAGAGGGACGTCCCAGCCTGGGAGCTGCTAGCACCAGCCACTGGTCAGGTTTTGGGGAGGAGCCTTTCTGGGGCCCTCAGTCTGCACTGTGGTTCCTTCACCACATGTAGCCTCTCCTGGGTGCTTTTCTTCATGCTGTCAATTTGCCTTCTTTCTTTTTCCTTTCTGCTGAGTCTTCCCCATGCTACATAAAACCACATATGGCCGCTCCAAGAACACCTCCCACCTCTTTCCCTTTCTATATAAGGGAATAAATATTCACTTATTCCCACCCTTATCTCAATGAACTATAAACCTTTTTA